ATTGAGAATCCTTCTTCTTTAAATAAATAATAAATAAATAAACAAATAAATAAATAAAATTATAAACTCACCCATCTTTGGCAATTAATTTAATTTTATATATATTACAGTCAACTCTCTTTATGTATAATGAACTGACGGTTCTTATATATTAACAAAATTTTTATATAGTAATTACTGTTTCTATACTCTATAATAAAAAGGTTCGTTATTATCCCGAGTTGACTGTACATGTAAAAACTGTTCTAATACTTTATACGTACTCTTGGTTATACGTCACGCATTTTAATTGTGTAACTAATACAAATATAAACGTAAAGATCAGGGTTAAATGTACATATAAAGTATCGTGAAGACGAGACAAATGTTAAAATATTCGACTTGACTCGTTCGTGATCCAATCCGTCTTCTGTACCTTGCTTTTATACTTTCGGTCAAAGTTTTATACTCTTGATAATGGTGGATTTCGAGAGATATCAGGTATGACAAATACAGCTCTTAAAAGTAAATTCGAAACAAGCCACTCAATTTTTTTTTTAATGTCACAATCTCGTTCTTCCGTAACCTAGCAAGCTCTTATTATTGTGAATCAATTACTCGTTAAGGAACTAAAAGCGTGCAATAAAATTTTGAATTCATGCCAAGGAGCTAAATTGGAAAGTAACTTGAAAAAACCCGAACTTTGTAGAAATTTAACTGAATACATGAAAAGGATAAGGGAGACTAATATACCACATACTATAAATGAAATGTCCGAAATTATATTGCGGAAAGGTGTACAACCGTCAAGGTATGATTAGTTTACCGTCTATTTGCTGTGTATATATAATTTACCACAACAGTCACTTAACTGTCGTTTAAAAATCAAAACACAACCTCGTTAAATAATGCTCAAAACTCCACCGGTTCATATCATGACTAGGCCTCCCCTGAAGCCTTCAAACATTACTCATTCTCGCGTGCAACCTAATCTTAAACATAGGCTAGTTATTAATCCTCCTATCCAACTCTATGGTTCAAATCATAATATTCAATTCAGGTCATCCCCATTTTACGATATTATAGAATCAATTACGGATTTCAGAATATTGGACGGTAAGATGATTTTTGAAGTGTCTAAATCCGGATTGTTTTTCAAAGTATATAAAGTATATTTAATATTTTAACCATTTTTACATTTATTTAGGGTCAAATGACAATACGCGAAATTCAGTTACTATTGACTTCTATCTAACACTAGACCAAGTTCGACATCTTCAGACGGCAAGGTGAGGATAAATTAACATGAGATAAATATTTATGATCTTGTTCATAACCCGTAACAATAATCGTTTTTATGAAGGCATGTAGCATACTACCAAATACGTTTATTCTGTTGTGCTGAGCCTTTCGACAATGGATCCTCTAGTACTAATGCGGTAGTCGAATTTCCACTAATGTGTGAGATTCAAGTTAATGATGACACATTGCCAGCTGTAAGAATTATTAAATTACGTGGTGTTATTCTAAACGAATTAGTTCTATGACATTGTGTGCTAAGTTTCATATGGCCGTATTGTAGAATACTAGAGGAATTAAAAAGATGGTTGGCTCAGTACATCCCATAGATATAACTCCGCTTTGCAAGATAAATACTACATATCAAAATAAGCTTAAATTTGTGTATGCGAATATTACCAAGGTAACTGTTTTTATTCAATGATTTGGCCAAGTTTCTTATTGTTATTGTTACGATTATTATTACTATTATTATCATTTTTCATTTATAGAGATATTTAATTAATCTTCAGTTGATTAAGAAGAAGTCAGTTGATCACATCGTAGATCAAATAAAAAATGGAAGAATAATCACAAAAGAAGAAACATTAAAGAAGTGTAAATGTTTTTATTTGATATCAAAATTTACAATTATGCTTGTTTCACTTATTTGTCATTTATTTGTTACTTGTAATAGGGAAAAATGCTTCTGAGGATGATATAGTGCTTGGATCAAGCCAAATCTCGCTGAAAGATCCGGTATGTTTAATATTTATTTTCTGAACTTTATATACTGGTTTCTTTAATATCCTTTCTCATTCTTATTTTGAATATTAGTTAGGGTATACGAGAATCCAAGTCCCGTGTAAATTTTCTCGTTGTAGACACGTACAGTGCTTCGATGCGTACTTATTTTTTCAAATGAATGAGCAAACACCGACCTGGTTATGCCCTATTTGCAATAATGTTGGAACATGGTCCGATATTGTAGTAGATGGGTGAGTTTATAATTTTATTTATTTATTTGTTTATTTATTTATTATTTATTTAAAGAAGAAGGATTCTCAAT